ACAGTAAATATATTTAAGGTTATAAACATATGCATGAAATGATTTTATATTTTACTTCTTCTTTCCCACAAGTACGATGAAATATTTATTTAAACAATGTCATTGCCTTAATTAGGTGGATTTTAAATATTTCTTTCAATCTTAAAAATATTTTAAAAGGTTGCATTTAGTTAGTAAATTTCATTTAATTTCCTTGAAAACATGTGATTTATGTTAAATATTATTAGTTTTCAAAAAATATTATTTATAATTTTTTTTTGCCAATCTCAGTTTCCTTGTACAATGATCTATATTCGATATTATTTTTTCTAAAATTTTCCGCTTTCCAACGATATATTATACGTATATCTTCGGACTAGTATTTCCAGAGATTCATTTTCGACCTGGATAAGCATTTTTATTTTTTTCTCTTTTATTCAATCATCAAATTCATTCAAATGTTATATTTATCATTTTTTCATAACTTTTAATAATGAGAGATAATTGATTATTTAAAATAAACCATATTAAAGGTACTATAGAGGAAGACGCATATGAACATTGGGCATTTAAGCCCTGTAAAGTGACATCAACAGGGATAAGGACTAAATGATATTAAAGACCACTTAATTATACGATGATACACTGAGTTTAATCAAAATCGTTAGAGCCGTTTTTGAGAAGATTGTAAAAATGTGTTTCAGCGTTCATATAAAGTGGCACTTCCAGTTAGCCGATTTTAACGAAAAAGTTTCTGTCACATCCGGCCCATATACAAACATTAAATATTTAATATCAGTTTCGTAGTACTTTTCGTTTATGAGCTAGACTGTTAAAACACACACACACACACAGACAGACCATTTTGCGACACTTGGTTATTTGGACTCAGGGGACCTCAAAACACGTATTTCCGTTGAAAAATGAGATTCGACAATTTTCACGATCGCAATACTTACACTTAAATAAAGTATTGCGTAGAATATTCGGACCGAAGAAGGATGAGTTAACCGGAGAGTTCAGACGGTTACACAACGCCGAATTGCGTGAGCTATATCCGGGTAATATAATTGAGGTAATTTCATCGCGGCAAATCAAATGGACTTGTAAAGTTGTTGGGCTTAGTAACGAGAGAATTCCTAAAAGGTTAATATTTGCTGTGCCGAATGGTAAGCGTCCGAGGGGTAGACCGAAGCGAAGGTGGGAAGATTGCATTAAAGCCGATCTGAAGGGACTGGGTTTGGACGGCGAACGGTGGAGGGAGGTGTGTAACAAGCGATTGGTGGTGTCGGCATCGAACCTTCGGGTTCGCTAAGCCTTATTATTATTATTATTAATACTTACACTTACTATGTACTTCCATATATACGTAAGTGAAAGTAAAAACGTAAATGTATTGTTCAAAACCGCTAATCTCCGAAACTTTTTCACCGATTGCTTTGAAATTTATGACTTAATGTTTCTATCGCATTCAGAAGTTTTTACATACATATCATCACAGTTCGGTCTTTCGATTCGGACTTTTGCGTCTAACGATGCGGCTGTAACGATTTTAATTAAACTTTTCTTTAATTAATTTCTTCTCCTTTCAGCCTTTTTAGTTAATATAACATCCTTCCCCGAAAAGAGTATGAAAAATAAGTTACTATGGGCTTCCAAAACTATATTTGCTAACATAAAAAATGCACATTTATAAAACCCATCATTATTTGAAAGCTTTCTTAATTTTTTACAAATTAAAAAAAAATCACTAAAATCGGACGACTTGGTGCAACAAAATTGCAAATTTTGAACAGGCCCAAGTATATATATATATATATATATATATATATATATATATATATATATATATATATATATATATACATTCAATTGTTTAAATAAAAACATTTTAAGAATTCTATTATCAAATCGTAATCTCTTGAAGGCTATAGTCGTTCGAGACAAACGGTCATTCTGACTAGACCGTTACGTTTTCCGGAAGGAAGCGATTTTCGTTTAACTGTCAGGATTCTAGAGAGGCAGTGGACACGAGACAGTTTGGGAAAAATACGGTAGTTTCGTTGTTTCATTTCTTTCTTATATTTCCTGTGCCATTTGGCAAAGGCTTCCAGTTCTCAACCATCTGATTCATTCCTAGGATATTTTTAAAACAAAGATTTTTATTTTCAGAAATTATTCTGGTCTTTATTAAGTTGGGATTTAAGTTGGTATTTAATTGAATTTTAAGCAACTTAAATTTTAATTTGAGTTAATAAATTTAGATCAACGCTAGTCACATCAGTACGTTATCTTTCAGAAAAAAGTTCCTTAACAGTTTTTTTTTTTTTTTTTTCACGAACAGGCCTTAAAGACCACGCGAATACCATGAAGTTAATGCTTCCTCTTCATCTGCCTCCTCTTCTCCCATATGCCCCTCATGAGCTCCGCGTGTTTACGTTTTCTCTCCTCAGACCACGCAACACCCTTTTTGGAGCGCTTCTTGCCCGCAAGAACCATTATTCTCTTGAGCGCCTTCCTGTACTCATCTCTGTCTAAACAATCTTGGATCCTTAGCCCAACTTGGTCCATATCATCCTTAATCTGTTTAAAATACCCGCTTACATTCTTATGACTGTGGATGCGCTGAAAGATTTTATGGTTAAGTCTTTCAGGATTCATCCTTATCTTATGGCCATAGAACCTCAGCCTTCCCATTCTAGCGTCAGTTTCTAGATCCGTTGTTTCTTTATATATTTCCTCATTTGACCTCAACCTGTATCCTTCAGGTGTTCTCCTAGGCCCGTAGATTCTTCTGAGAATTCTTCTTTCTATTTTCAGAAGGCTTTCTAGGCTGGGAAGACAAGAAGTTTCTGTTGCGTAGAGTACCATTGGCTTGACGACCGTGTTAAAAATGTCGTATTCTGGCTTTTAGAGATAAGTTCTTCTTTTTATAAAGCTCACTGGTGGCGAAGCTTAATTTCTCGATTTTGGCGATTCTTTCCTTAAACCCTTCTCTCTCTGACCCTTAACAGTTTATGTTAAACTTTTTAGAAAAAAAATCCGTTAAATGAAAAATAAAGTTATTATTTGTCTTAAATATTTAAATTAAGACAAAGTTCAATTAAACAAAATTCTAATGTGTCGTTTGTTTGAGTAGCTAAGAATAAGTCATTTTTTAGATCGACTTTTTAGCGAAATCGATGCAAATTTTAAATAAAAGTTCAGTAAAACCTTTGAAAAGTTCTAAGGAAAAAAGTTCTAGTTTCTAAAGAATTAAAGAACTATCGACATTAAAATTTCAATGATACCGAAACATGTTTTAAATAAAAGTTATTTTTTCTCGTTTCAAGCCCTACTATTTTTAAACGTTCTGGTATCAATTAAATGAAAATTTTCATCGAAAAGATACAAAAAAGCAAAGGGTGCATTGCCTGAGCGAGTTAAGGCGTGTGCAAAATACAAGCACTTCATTAAATAGAGAAATTTTACCTATCTCTAGATTGAAAACGTCATATTTTCGATAATTTTTGATATCCCATTTACGAAGATTTAGAGAAATGTAATATATTATTATTATTTAAATAAAGTTTTTTCTTCGTTTCAAGCCCTACTATTTTTAAAATGGACGTGCTATATAGGGTATATGCTATATATATATATATATGGACGTAAAATATATGGATTTTTCTTGTCATATTTTTTTAGGGTCGGTGCCATTTTTTGTAAATAGAATAAGGAATATGTATGTAACTGACTCTTTATAAATTATTATATGTTTTATAATGATATATTTTAAAGAAAAATAACTAAATTAAAATTTATTGAGTGAGAAGATGGTCCGGAATTACGGACATAAAAAGACAAAAATAGTAACAAAATATTTTATTTAAAGCCACAGTTTCAACCCGACTTTCCAGATCTTCTTCATTAGTTTGTATGTAGTAAGGAGTTTTCAACTAAAACTCCAAACAATTTAATCATCATGGTCAACCATCAGGTATTTACCAAATTAAAATTTGTTTCCAGAATCTTGAAAACGACTCTAGAGGCCGAAATGTTGAATAATAAATACATAAACTTAAAACATTTATTATTGATGACCTTTGGCCTAATATTTAAAAAAAATAATTTTTTTCTGAATATATTATTATTGCTTAAATCCACCTATATCGCTGACAGATTTAAGGGAGAGAAGGTTATTGCTCTGAAACCTGAAACCTCGAAGAATAGAAAAATATATTTTTTTTTCCATTGGCCCATATTTGTTTTTCTGAATGATTTAAGCTAAATAGTTAAAAGGGGGCGGGGTTGTCTGAGCGGGCAAACGCGCTTACACAGCAAATTGATAAAAGGTAATAGGATAAAATAATTAGGAATTCGCGTCCCAGTTTTCTGGGCTGCTTTAACTCTGTGGTATTAATCCCCTGTCCTCACCTCTGGCCCAGAAAAACCACATATAGTCCAGAAAGGCAAGGAAGGGAAGGAAAAAAAAACACTAAATACTTGAACAATCACAATATGCTCTCTTTTTAAACTATAACACATATAGTCCAGTAACCTTGTAACGTCGTAAGTTGTTGTAGAAGGTTTCTTACTTTTTTTTTCTTCTCTGGGATGTGAGTGAGATGCAAAATGCAAGTTTTCAACTTCGGCGACTCCTCGGACCACTTTTGAATATACCCAAAACTGGTATATTTTCGAACTTTTTTCGGTTTCGAACCACAGATTTTCAAAATTTGTAAATTTTCTAAACTTAAAAATTGTAAGCTATAATAATTTTCTCATATTTTGTTGTCTCTATATCTTCATTGCCACCCATAATATCTTTTCTAAATATAATACGCTCAACTTTTGAGTATGCAGTAAAGTTTTCTATTTTGAAATTAAGTGTTTATCGATATTTTTTTTTCTCGGTACATGATATATTCAAAAGAATCCTTAACCTCTAAACCAAGGCAGTGGATCCAGGAAAGCTCACGATATTCTCAATGATGCATTTTATTACTTATTTTTAACATGGTTCGTTCTATGATTGACAGAGATACGATCCTTGGTTATCCTGGAGGTTAGGCCAGATCGAGCGACCTCCAGAACTGGGTCAGCCCAAGATCCGAAAACCCTCGACTCCTTGCTCAGCAGATCGGAGGTCTTCGAACCCCGGAGCCAAGGTAGAGGTCGCGATATTGCAACTAGTCTGCACCTTTTGTGAGGGGCAAGCATTACCAAAATAACTTAGGTCAAGGTAAGCTTGCAATCTACAAGGTCCTCTCTCTTCCTATGTAAATATTGTCTTATCTTAATTTAGCCCTCAGGTATTCAGGGCGCCATTCTGAGAGAGTCAGAAGAGTATAATTCTCTCCCCCCCCCCACTTCTCAATTACTTGTAAATACCAAAATTTGAAATTACAAAACCAAAGTCAGGATGCCCGGGCGAGATAACGCGTGTGCAAAATACAAGTACTTTATTAAATAGACAAATTTTACCTATCTCTAGACTGAAAACGCTATATTTTTGATAATTTTTATCATCCCATTTACGAAGATTTAGAGGGATGTTAATAATTTCATAAAAATGAGTATGCATTACAGACGATTAACATTTACTATGTTTCTGACCTCTCAACCACAATTGTACTAAAACAACTTAGCCAATTTTATGTGCAGTCCGATCCTACCTCTTTGGAACGATCCCATATTTTCTTATCGATTCATGGCTAGAAAGGAGTTAATTATAAAAAATAATGCTTGTTACAATGCATGTTAGAGTTGCTTTGTTACATAAATTTTGTACTTACCTAAATTCTGATGTAAAAATACAAGTACTTCATTAAATAGACAAATTTTACCTATCTCTAGACTGAAAACGCTATATTTTCGATAATTTTTATCATCCCATTTACGAAGATTTTGAAGGATGTTAATAATTTCATAATAATAAGTATGCATCACAGAAAATTAACATTTATTATGTTTCTGACCTCGCAGCCACAATTGTACTAAAACAACTGAGCCAATTTTATGTGCAGTCCGATCCTACCTCTTTGGAATGATCCCATATTTTCTTATCGATTTATGGCTAGAAAGGAGTTAATTATAAAAAATAATGTTTGTTACAATGCATGTTAGAGTTGCTATGTTACATAAATTTTGTACTTACCTAAAGTCTGATGTACAAATACAAGTACTTCATTAAATAGACAAATTTTAACATCTCTAGATTGAAAACGCCATATTTTCGATAATTTTTCATAATCATCCCATTTACGAAGATTTAGAGGGATGTTAATAATTTCATGATAATAAATATGCATCACAGACAATTAACATTTATTATGTTTCTGACCTAGCAACCACAATTGTCCAAAAACAACTTAGCAAATTTTACAAGTATTTTTCTTGTCTGTTATCTTAGGCATATGAGTAATCTTTTAACTTAATTTTAAAGCATAGATTACTATTAATAATTTTTAAAAAAATGTGTATTTATTGTTTTATGTGTAGTTATTTATGTTTAATGTTGAACATTTTAGATTTTATATTAATTTTATAATTGGAACTATTTTAACTGTCTCACCTTTACCGAATATAATTTTTAATTTATGCTTAAGAGTGTTTTAATGTCTGTGATATAGTATAAAAATCAATTTGTATTTCCATAAGGATAACAATGTTTGTTATTTTGTGATAGACTCCATTTGTACAGAGTTCTTCTCTTAAAACAAATAAAGATTGATTGATTGAACTTAGCAAATCTTATGTGCAGTCCGATCCTACCTCTTTGGACTGACAATGGAACGGTTATATTTTTTCTGTTTTTGTCAATGATAAATTTCAAATATACAACAATGGATTTATTTGTTGAATTTACATGTTAACGTTTCGAGAAATTTACTCGCATCATCAGAACAACAATTCCATATTTTCTTATTGCTTCATGGCTAGAAAAGAGTTAATTATAAAAAATAATGCTTGTTACAATACATGTTAGAGTTGCGTTGTTACATAAATTTTGTAATTACCTAAAGTTTGACGTGCTCTGCTATGGGGGATACTATACTATAGCAATAATTGGGGGACACCCAATTATTGGTCTATAGCAATGTTGATGCTCTAGATATTATAACTGTAATTTATCTATAACATAAATTTTACTCATGACAAAGGAGCACATCAGACTTTATGCATAGTAACATGCTGAAAATGTGGGTAAATTTCCCGAAATTTTAACATGTAAATACAACAAATGAATCCATTTTTTTTGTATTTGGAAGTTATTATTGCCAAAAACAGAAAATATCAGACAGATTCCCAGCAAAAGAAGAAAAGGAGGTTATATTTTTGAATTTTACGAATTTGTTGCCGTTTGTAATGAGATTTTAGTATTTTTACGATGCTTTAGGTTACTTTATATTGTACACATTCTATGCTTCAGTATGCAAAATTATATTTTTTATAAATAAATAGCGGATTTGTTTAATAAATATTTTAACTACCTTTATTATTTATCCTATGTATTATTTCTAAAAGGTGTTTCGTTGTCGGTACGCCATAACTTCGTCAATTCTTCATCAAATCCAATGATTGACCACTCATTTTGAAGATATTTTTCTCCTTCACATACAAAAAATAGTTCCATCCTCCCAAATTTCTGGAAAAAGGTTATGAAGGAAAAGAAACTTGCATTCCCCATTTGCAAATAACTCAAAAGATATGCATTTTTGTTCTTGGTGATAATGAGAAAGATTACTAAATTTTTTAAAAAAATTTATTGAAAAATATTACAATCTGTCTTAAGGACATTTATAATAGTGTTCTGAGATCACATTCACACTCTACGTACAATAAATAAAATAAATTATACAGAAAAATAAGATATATACAGAAATTAACTAAATTATTAATTCCTTTTTTACATAATACATATGAACTACTTATTTCCATATTGTTTTTCTATTTCTTCATTAAACAAAATTTTCTGCGAATTATTCGCACGGGCCAATTAGTATGTATATACTATGCTTAACTTGTGTTGGTTTATAGAAGTATATATTGGAATTATATCTATTCATATTAGACTATAATGATTATATTTCTTCATAAAACTGTTGTTAACACTTTTTATTTAATTTTTTTCACAAAAGGTAAGTGAAAATGTCAAAACGCCAATGCGTTGGAAAAAATACCTAAAATATTTTTTATTTCCTTTTCCTCTTCTTCACCTTTTTGACTATACGGTTGTTTTCCTGAGCCAGGGGAAAGAGCGAGAGACGAATGCCAGAGTTATAAGTCCCCACGATACCGGAATTCGTACTTGTAATCTGCGGTTTATCAGGTTGATGGGCAACGAGTGTTTTTATACACGCGTTAGTCCGCTCGACCATCCCGTCCCAATATTTCATCATCGCGATTATATAATTTCTTTTTAGCAAATTGCTAGAAATAACAAACAGATGGTGAGAACCCCCACTCCTCCTCAACCATTGCTTTTACCCTAAACACTAGCATAGATTTTGTATATTAATCTATCTCTGACTTTCAGGTGCTGCACAAGCGACCAGACATACCTTACACATTCTCCTCGAGTCCTTATCACCGGTGAGTCACCGAATCTGCATCTTGTGCGAGTTCAGGCTGAGGAAAGATTGCGCAAAGCTAGTGAAGGAAGGAAGGAGATGGGATCTTGTGATGGTGAGTCACCAGATGCTGGTTGAATGGTGACCAGCGCTAACCAGCTGTAGGCTCTTTGTAATTACTCTCAGATCCTATCTGCATCTCTCACAGCTGTTGAAATATCTTCACAGGCTCAAGATCTCCAGAGATGTATCAATTTCTTATGGCCCTATCAGTTCAACCTCGTCCCCCATATACCTCTAACCAGAAACCTTTAAACTGGATTCAACCAGATAATACTATTATACAACAATCTCGTTTTAAGAATTATAATACTGGATATAGAGCCCAGTCATTTATTATACTGTAAGATATAAAGCTTGTAGTCCGTGGTACAGACCCCATTTTATCAAATTATTAACATCCGCCTGAAACTTCGTAAATAGTTTCATCTCATCGTAACCTACAACTATTTTATTTAGGAAAACTCTTGGAATTGGAGCGTTTTCAATCTGGACGGAGTCAAACTTTGTTTATTTAATTAAGTACTAAAAACTCGTAAATACACATTTGCTTATTACTTAGATCGTAAGATAATTTGATCACAAAATAGATAAAAAAAGGTGGCCTACAAAAATATTGGGCCGAATGTCGTATATAACCTCGTTATTTTGAAATTTTGGGGGTACAGGGCACACCAAACGGCTTAATATTTTTGAAGGTCACCTTTTTTTCTCTCGATTTTGTGATCAAATTATCGTAAGATCCAAGTAGAGAGCAAATGTGTATTTACGAGTTTTTAGTACCTAATTAAATAGACAAAGTTTGCCTCCATACAGATTGAATACGGCCAAATTCCTAGAGTTTTCGTAAATAAAATAGTTGTAGGTTACGATGAGACGAATCTATTTACGAAGTTTCGGGCGGATGTTAATAATTCGATAAAAAGGGATCTGTACTACGGACTAGTTGGTATAGCCTTATATTTTTATTTATTTTTCATATGTTTATATATTCTGGTATAATCTAACAAGTCGATCTTAAGATTAGCATACATCAATACTGGATTCAATCAATTGATAGAGTCCATAGATGTAATAAGAACCCAGATTAGGAACTTTTTCTAGTTGATGAGTGTTTTTGTCGATGCCTATATGTTTGTTAATTAACCGTTTATGACATGTGTTATAAATAAAATTGAATTTCTTTCTTTTGTTTCCATCATTATCTTGAGAATAAATTATGATATGTTTCTGAGATGAATATATATATTTTTTAATGATATCTAGCCCAGAAGACAGAAAAAACCTGAAAAGATATCTAGTTTGATTAATGTCATTGTTAGACAAGGAGAATAAATTTTGATATTCCTCTTCCCAGAACAGCTGAGATTTATTGCTTAATGTCCAATCAACATCTTCAAGTCTCTTTCTCACCACTTCATCTTTGACAACCTCCTTGCATTTCCTGTTATGTATTCGTTCAGTTAAACCTACTTTCCATAGAATGACACATGTTATATGATACGTACTTAAAGAAATGATCCGTAGGAAATAGAAGTAATGTTTTAAAAAAAGTTTGTTTGCTTCAAATTTTTCAAGTAATATTGATAGTGAAATAGTTTTATTTCTTTAGACTAAAATATGTTTACTCAAGGTGAGAGGGGAGCCTACCTTGAAGATCTGAAGCTATCAACCATCGCCTGTGGCCACGCAAGGAGCAGTAGGAAGGTTCGGAAAACTAATGGAGGAACTAATTCACAGTGTCTCCCATGAGAATACGATGATATTTTTAAAGAGAATCTTAATATTAGAATTCATCTTTATAAATCATTAATGCCCAAGAACAGGTAACATGTTTACTGATTCAATTCGGGTGTAAACAATGGGCTAAACGTCTAATGTAAAAGACCCGTGTAGTTCAGCAATGAGGACTCATTCTCATTATCGATTTACATAGAGGATTTACATACTAATTTCAGTGAGGATTTCTTGCGAGTGACGTCACCGAGCTGATGGTCGACAGCTGGTCCTCATATTTATATCCTGTCATATTTTTTATCAAATTTATTATCTGAGTTTCCTATTAATTGTTATTATATTATAGAAGACATCTTTATTTTTATAGTAGATTATATTTATACTTTTAAATTTTACTAGATTTTTTAATTCTTAGGTTCCATGCAGGTTAAGCAATACAGTATAGAAACTCATCTATCTCTCTTTAATCAACTCCAGGCCCATCCGAAAGTTTCTAGCCTTGAAGAGTCTCCGATTCCTAGTACAATCCTAGGCCTCTGAATAGAACATCGCATCGGATAGTTTTTTTAAAACTCTGTCCAAGTCATTACACTTAATAGCGCTTAATTTTTAGTTAATACAGTTATAAATTTCAATAATATATTTGTAAAAAATAACGTAATCTTCACTGGCGAATAAAAATTGAAAATTCATACAAGTACTCACTTCATTTTCATTAAGTAAGCTTTAATCTATATTAATAAAAACGTAAATGTTCGTTTGTTCAAAACCGCTAATCTCCGAAACTTCCTCACCGATTGCTTTGAAATATTGACACAATGCTTCTATCGGAGTCAGCAGTGTTTTATATAGATTAAGTTACCTTCAGACTTTTCGTATCGGAAAGGTGGCAGAAAAATTCTATAACAAAAAACGTATGTTGTTATAGACTGTAGCGCCTAAACGGCTGTAACAATTTTAATTAAACTTGGCTAAAGTCTTCTCCTTGAAGCCCTATTAATTTGTATATATATATATAACATCCTTTTCCGAAAAGAGTATGAAAAAAAAGTTACGATGGATTCAGAATTATATTTGCGAATAACTGAAGAAGTACACAATTTTTGTTTGATTATACCCATCATTATTCAAAAGCTTCAAACAATTTGTACCGGCCAAAGGAGCAAAGTGGGTTCAAATATTTTGTTAATGAGGAACGGAGTTGAGATTATTTTTTCGCATCTTGACAAACACTCAAATACGAATTTTTATTGTAATCGAAAAATACAAATTTTTTATCTTAAAGGCAGGAAGGACTCTGCAATTTTTTTTTTTTTTGCAAAAATTGTCATAACTTCGACATGGCAAGTAGAGCCACTCACACGAAAATTGGCATGCATTTAGGACCCTATAATGTACACGAAATGGCACAAATCAGAGATCTGTAAATAAATTAGGCTTGGAGATAAAAAATAAAAACCTGTTTGGAGTTTTTCTTCATTTATTCCTTATGAGGGCGTTAAATATAACCGTTTTTTATATAGAATTAAAGAGCAACAACTCAGCTTTCCGACGGTCCTAGAAACATTGAATTAGTAGTAAATCGCAAGGAGTTATGAGTTATTTAGTGAAAAGCTGGTAAACAGATTTTAATAGAGAGCCAACTGGTTTCCATGGCGACCCATCACCTGTCTATTCGTTATACCGCTAATCTTCGAAACTTCCTCACCGATTACTTTGAAATATTGACATAATGTTTCTATCGCATTCAGGAGTGTTTTATATACATTTAATCACCCTGTGATTTTTCTTTTCGGAAAGGCGGCCCAAAAACCTGTGTCGCTATAGACTGTAGCGTCTAAACGGCTGTAACGATTTTAATTAAACTTGGCTAAAGTCTTCTCCTTGAAGTACTTTGGACAATTATAAATTGCATGTTCTAGAGTTGGAAAACCAGACAATTTCTATATGTATATACAAACAATGGAACAATAAGAAATATTGTACATTCGCAAGTATTGTCAAATAAAATATATTAGAAACATCTGCTTTCTTTTTTATTTATTTTTATATTCAACTAGTCCATGATACACCAATGTGGGTACAGACAGTGTAACAATAAAATCACTTTTCATATTTTTTTAAAACAAAAATAGGAGAAAAATGCGATCTCAATTACAGCTTTGACACTATTTTTTTAAAGAATAAATTTGTTTTTTAAATATTACATATTTTGCGGCCAGCTGTGGCATAATGTGTCAAAGTGGCCCATGAAGCCATTTTGATTGACCAAGACCTACTTTAGCAGATAACATCGGTTTTCTTCACACCACGAACTATTAGTTTATAACGTTAAATTAATTTTTTGTTTGTTTAAAGATTACTTAGTTGTCAGGTCTAGATTAATGAGCACTGTTAATTATTCATCAAGGTATCGTAAGAAATCTTTGCATCGCAATCAGACATCAGCTCCGATCAAACAATATTCAATCACTCATCTGGCGCAACTTCTTTCACCGTGGGTATCAGTCAATGCGCAATACGCAACCTTTGACAGGTCTCCACAGCTTGCGCAGTGCCGCAATAATGACGCCTCTATTGGGAAGTTTCTATTTAGCACAATCTTAATGGCGTCTCATCTTTGAATCCCATTTTGTTCTTGATCAAAAAACATAAAACGTTATTTCACTGCCCATTTCTGAGACTGGATAATGCATCATTCCTAATGAAGAGTTCGATTTGTGAACACTCACTTATTTATTACCTAATGCAATCAGAAAAAAAAATCTTTTAATTAGCCATCTTTTTTTTTTTTAAGTGATAATTTCTTTAGGCGAGTTTTGCACTTATTTTTGTGGAGAGTGAATTAGATTGATCCCTCAGATTTCCGAAGTGTTAACGTTCGGTTAAAGTCGGATAGAATAGACTAATTTGAAATGTTTTTACATATGGATTAAAATATCTGAAAACTCAAAATCGGGCCTGCATTCTGTTAGCAAGGAAATTATTCAGCATTCCATTCTCTCTGTAATAGGCTATATTTCAAAATTATATCTTAATCCAACATCTTGTTAGAGAGAAGGAGAGGAAAAAAGATAGTGTCCAAAACCAAATGAGTTTCTGCTGATACATAGCACAAATGCTAAATTACAACATTGAAATTTTATTTTGTCAACATTATTAACAATATATAAAAAATAATATAATGATAATAATAGCAGAAATCCTTAGGCATAATGGAAAATATATAATAATATAGCATTACATTACCTTCCAAAAAAAAATAACGAGTTTTATTGAAGATGTGGATTAAAATATTTTAAAAACTATAAATCGGACCTGCATATTGTAAGCCAGAAAATTATTTAGCATTTCAACCTCTCTGCAATTGGCTATGATTCAAAATTGTATCTTAATGTGACGCCGGGTTAAAGAGGTAAATAATTAATTAATTAATTGATGAGAGAGATAATTAAGAGGAGAAGGAAAAGAATAGTGTCGGAAACTAAATGAGAGCGAGTTTTATGGAAGATATAGATTAAAATATCTCAGAAACTAAAAATCGGACGTGCATACTGTAAGCCAGGGAAATGTTCCGCACTTTATTCTTTTTATAATTGGTAATTGGTTGACTGTCGTGGATAATGAAGAGAAGAATAGTTGGGGTGGTCAGTCAAAAAGGAAGGCAAAAATAAATGATAATATTTATTTTTACATATGCCGACGTTTCGACCTGAAGTTCAGGCCTTCATCAGGGCTAAGAAAATAACCAGATAACAAGGTATGAGAAACATAAGTAGAGATAATAAATATTATCATTTATTTTTGCCTTCCTTTTTGACTGACCACCCCGACTATTCTTCTCTTCTTTATTCTTTTTATAATGAGTTATTATTTATAATTTATATTTGATATTATTAAATTCCCCTTGTTGATGTTTTCATTTCTATCGTATGGTCTAAAGCACACACCTTATTTTATTTTTTTTTCTGTTGGTATTACAGACCATGAAGATCTTTTGCCACATTAATAATCCTGCTCCACCTCTGCCTCTCTTAGGCTATTCGTTTCCATTTATCTACACTCAGCTCTATTGCATCTTTGTTGATTCTATCTATCCATCTGCTTTTTGCCCTTCCACGTCGTCTTTTGCCTTCTATTGAGGCATTCATTGTTACGTAGAGGCTTCCAGATGGATTGATACGATCTATATCCCCCGACTATCTTACCCTCCGTGCCTTCATATCATGGGATATTGATTGAACAGTTTCTGTAAGCAGTTCTATATTGGTATTTCTTCTCCATGTGTTAGTATTCTGATCCCAGATCGCTCTGGTCATCGTGAAGACAATTTTTCTCTCAAATCTTTTAACACTTTTTTTCTATAATGCTGTTTAGTGTCCAGGTTTCACAGCCATACATTAGATCTTGCTTTATCAGAGCATTGTACATCCTTAATTTGAGATTTCTGGAGATTTTTCGGGATTTCAATACCTTTGAAAGGGAGAAGAAAGTTCTGTTTGCACTAGTCTATTTCTGCCCGCTGGCCATTCATATAACAGCGATCTCTTATATTTATTATATTTTATCCATTATTCACAGTTATTGAATGCAATTCAGCTAGAAATATAACATTTATTAAAATATAACTGTTAACACACACAAAACTTTTGTTACCGTTTTGGGTTCTATACAAAATGGTTTGTTGTATCTTTGCTAATATCGGTGAAATTAAGATTTTTTTTTTTTTTTTTGCACTATCGTATTTACTTTCACTCACGTATGTGTAATATACTCGTAAAGTAAGGGAAATTGTTGTGATCGTGAAATATTCAGAATCTGAGTTTTGAACGGAGATAAACTTTTTAAGGTTCCTGACTCCCATTCATTATTTGTTGTTATATAGCATCCATCATAGTATCCATAGAACAACGCTCATGAGCCAACTAAGGCTATTTTAATTATGAAATACATAAAAGGTAAGCTTTCTTAGGGTCGTTCATAAATAATACGTTCAAATTATGTTTTTAAATTTAATCCTTAGTATGAATCTTCTTTAGGAACTTTCATTAGGAACGTTCATGAATAAGGCTCTTAAATCACGTTGAAATGACTATACATTACTTTTATAGAAGAGTATTCATCCCAAAATAGTAGTAGATGGATGTTCGCTTCTTCATTTCAAATATATTATTACATATTTAAATACACAAAAACAAAAGCTGGCGTGTCTACTCATACGATTTTCAATATCCATTTAAAAAAAAAAACATGATTCATTTTTCTGGAAACCGATCAGAGGAATTATTGGAGTACAATTTATTTGATGAACTAAAGCACTGTAAACGGACAAGTGAACCATCATTAAAATCAGCGTATGGAATTCATTATACTGTAATTTTGCTAAAACTGGTACGATTTAGAAGATTTTTTTTAGTTTTGTCAGAAATTTAATAAGCTTTAAAAATAAATAAAATAAGCAGGAAGAGCCCAACTTGTTTTAATAAAACCGGTAGTCAAAATTCTACAAAACAAAAAAGACGTAATAAAATCGTAGCACT